GAGCAAGAACGCTCATTTGTACATCATTCTAGAGAGAAATAAATGGCCTTTTTAGAAAGTGAACCATCGATAAGGAAATGTTGGCAGTTTTCTCAAAAAACGCTTGAATTCAAGAAGTTTTAGATTTGCGTGGTTTTTTTTGAGTTGCAAAATCACTTGAACATGACGCTACTCTTTTCGAAGTTTCTCAAGAACCATTCGAGCCAGAGATTTCGTTTTGGTATCGTTGGATAGAGAATTGAATGGAGGGGGTCATGACTTACACCGTTAAAAAAAACTCTTCAACTCCTCCTTTAGACGTTAAAAAATCTTTTTTTTTTCAGTTAAGTGACATGTCCTCATTGGGTCCTACCCAGAACGGTTTGGGGCCGTCTGCGAAATACAGGGCGTTGCTCGGCTTTGGGTACCCGCCACCTGAAAGTGTTCGCCCCGCGATAAACTCGCCCGAACAAATGACCGACCGAGCGGCGAGCGAGTCGGAACCGAGGCCTGGATTGTGGGATTTGCATTTCGAGCGAAAAACGACCGAAGCACCTCGAGAGGATATTTTGTCGGCTTCCAGGGAAGGTCTGACGACTTGAATTGAAACCAACTAAGAGAGTGCTTTTTGTGATGTGCTTAGTTGTCAGGAAATACTAACATGCATCGCAAAAAAGCGCAAAAAGCGGAAAGAGCTGGAATTCTGCCTCGCAGGATAATCAATCGAGGAAGCAGAAGACGTTTGTTTAAAACGAATTATTTCTTGAGTAGGAAACTGGTTCCTATGTTCTACTAGTCTAGCGGCAAGGAGATTTTGCAAGGTTTGTGAACAGGATAAGGGAAAATGTGTGGTTGAAGTCGGCAAGTTAGTGGCATTTTATAGTAATTACATTCCACTAGGATGGGTGGTGTTATTACAAAGAAACACCCCCTCTTTAGTAGAGTATCAAAACATATCTCAGCGAGACTTTGTGTTGAAACTGAACAAAGACCTGTTTTATTATTTACACTTTTGAACGAACGAACAGAAGCATTTTCGGTTATCTGCCATCTCGATTATACTCGGAAATATCCACTACTACTACCGTGGATAACTGCGGTTTATCTTCTTTTCTTGGTCAAAATCGCAAAACGTTGTTTTCTTGTCAAATACGGTTGGGGCAATGCATACTGTGATATAGCAACTACTAATATTTACGTATATAAATGCTGTGTAAAATTAGAAATGTTTAAATGAGAAAAATTAATGTTTAGGTCGGACAGTTTGTAATATAGTAGAAAAGGTGTAAAAAATAATTAAGGTTTAAATCATTTTTTTATTTCTGTGTTAACTGTTCTGTGTCCAAGCGACATTGGCAAAGCCAGTATTTAGCTATACATACTGCAGTAAATTAGGTCTTTGTACATATTAAATATTGTCAAGGTGGTTCTTAAAAAATCACCGAAAATTGTAATTAAACAAACAGCACCTTGACTTTGTCCTGTAATTAATATTAGGTGTTGTCCAATTTATTTAATTTTGTCGAAAGCGATTTTTCTTGTACATTGTATATGTATCACTGTATTGCAAAATGAGACTGGTTTTATTAATATTATTATTATTATCGCTATTACTTTTACTATTAATATTACAAAAAACACAAAATACTACAGCCCAGTACAAATGACACTTGGTTTTCTTTGAAGCTCGGAAAACCGCACTCCTACCTAAGTCCATTAAGGCTTATTGTAGTTTAAACCCGTCTTGATCGCAACTATACGAATTTACCGACATACAACTCATTACTGTGGCAAATCATACTAAGGGGCAGCACTTCGGGTTTAGATTTACAGTGTAAAATGTTTGTAAATATCTCTAACTGAACTGTATTATGTAAAATGTTAAGTTTAGTTTGGGCGATGTAAAATGATATGACTGGTCGGAAAACATGCCATTTCGATTCGTTTAATTATAAAATATATTTATCACATATAATAGTGGAGTTTTATTCATTTGGCCGACCCGCACCAGGCAAATTCACTGAATTCCTCCCTGATTAATTCAATTAGCGCCTCGATTGCTTAGGCTTCCCTCTCGAACCCCATTAAGAGTCGAGCAACAAGATGCATAAAATCGTAATGTTCCTGGTTATCAGCTTTGCGATCAAGCAGGTAGGTTAAGGATTGAAATTATCGCTAACAAAACAGCTTCTAAAGCATCGAAAACTCTTCTAGAGCATGCAGAAGAACTACAAAGTTACTGACCAGATTTACATGGACATTGAAATTGATGGTAAATACTCTGGTCGGGTAACTTTCGGTCTATTTGGCGAAACCGTTCCTAAAACAGTGAAGAACTTCAAGCAAATCGCCCTTCAGGGTATAGAAGGGAACGGATATACCGGAACAAGGTTTCTGCTCGCTATCAAAAAAGTTATGATATTGGGTGAGAGCTCATTGGGAGTTTTTGGGTTGAGAAAATGTGAAATGATCTTTTAAGGTGGTGACATCGTCTACAACAATGGCAGTGGCGCTGCAAGCATCTATGGTGAAAGGTTTGAAGATGAAAATTTCGAAATCGAGCCTGATTCTACAGGGTTACTTGCCATGGCCAATCTGGGAGGTTCGAAAAAAGTATATTTTGCAAGCTTTATTGAAAAAAAACGTTCATGTTTTAATCGCGCTTAGCTTCTGCAGCAACATCGGAGTCTTTCCTACTGTTCATTCCAAAACTACCCACATAGTTTAACATTTAGTTTAAATCTTTGTTCAATTAGTTGTTTATTTTAATATTTATTCGCCTCTCACAGTACCTGACAGCAATGGGTGCATGTTCTTGATCACCACCATGCCCACTCCGTGGCTCAGTGGCAAAAACATCGTCTTTGGAAAGGCAATTTTTATGCAATTGAGCCAAAGGACCTCCTGCTAAAAACGCGTTGTAGGTGATAAAAGGGCATGACGTCGTCCACAGAATAGAATACTTGAAAACCGATTATATGGACAAATTGCTGCCTCTGGTAGAAGTGGTAAAGTGTGGGGAAATTCGTTCGAAACCCTTCTATGAGAACCACAAAAACTACGAGTAAGTCCTGCAAATTCGCACAATGGAAGAGCCTCATAAAACCTTCCTGAGTATCTCTTTAGAAGCTTTGGTATTTCCAGGCTGACTTTATGGGCTTGGATTCAAGCTGGGTGGTTCCCACTGAGCTTCTCCTTTGCCATCCTGGGATTTTTCCACTATTTCATCAAGCAACTAGATGCACTAATTTAAATAAACAACCAATGTAGTAAAGTGTAAAAGACGCAATAAAAGCCCCAATTAGTTCCTCAAAATCCATCATCATTCGAAAAAACCCGCAATTCCTCAGAAGCTCGTTTAAATTCTCGCATTAGAGCACGTCAATCAACAAAGTGACACGCAGTTGAAAACTCAAAAAGTGAAACTAAAAAATGCCAAAAATTCTCCGTGTATTGTAGAGCGCCCACTAATGATGCGTTCCCCCAAATCCTTAGTCGACTGCACATGAAACCCCGCAAAAATGTCCATCAAACAGGTACGAACGCCTAGCAGCATTCAACTTTTTGCTCTCAAGCAAATCAATTTAAGGACCCCAAAAGTTTCACCAAGCCGGAAAAAGAGCTCAGAACAGCGATTAGCAATTGCAAAACTGAGCTCCAGCGAAATTCAGCCAGTCAACAGAAACCCCGCCAAATCATGGAAAATGAGCCAAAGGACGATATAACTCTTGAAAAAGTACTTGCACGCAAATTTTCAAATATCCCAGAGCAATTTTTCCCCTTGTCTCAGGTGGTACGCGATATGGCGCACGTTTTCTACAATTTAAAAAATGGAATTTCGCTGGTAAAGTCCTCGATCGGCATGCAGCGCATCGATAAAGAATCGACACACAATATGGAAAACGAGCTGGAGAAAATATATAAACGCCAGGAAAATCTCAATAGGGAAAAGGAGGAGGAAGCGGCGAAAAAGGCCAAAGAACAAGAGCGCAAGAAATCGGCTCCGCCAAATCCCGCGCAGAACAAAAAAGCCAGCCTCAACAGAAAAGCTTCAAAAAACCAGGCCTCAGAACCTTCCAAAAATCTGATGGTCATGAATATACAATTTCCCCCAGAACGTCTGAAGAATCATGCAGTTACTGCGGGAATAAACGCACCGAGGTAAAACCAAACCAGAAAATCTTCCTCTGGCCTTACAATTTAATCGAAAAACTCCAGCTTCAATAAAACAAGCCATAATTTACAGGTCAAGATCTTCCGACAGTCCAACCCTGAGAAAACCATCTGCAGACAATCAGAAAAAATCCCTCTCAGTGCCTCCTCCAAGGGAAGTTTACAATCCCTTGGGGATAATCAAAGATGAAGTCGAAAAGGCCATGCGGCAGCAAATGACCTTTACCATTAAGGGCCAATTTCCGGCAGTTCGACGAGCCCTTCTCAAGAGGGGCTGGATAGAAAAATACCACACCAGTCATAGGTGATTGCTGATATTCAACAAA